CCGCCGCTTCGAAAAACTTACTTTTGCAACGGTACTTATGCAGCGTGCTAAACTTCTCATCGCGATTTCTTGAAAACGCTTGAGAGTTGCGTCGTCTCCGTTTAGCATTTTTTGCTCTTATATCCAAACTACATTTTTGCAAAGTTTCATAAAAATCGGTGACCCCCAGGGTGTAGGCACTCCTTGTTAGTGTCTATGATTGGTTTTTTTCTTTAAATCTGTTTGATGTATGAAAGTATATGTCAATGGTAAGCAACAATCGCAAAGCGCTTAGCAAGCGCTGAGTTTTGCTGAACACATTATGTAAAAACTATTAGCATAGTTGGTATAAAGTGTATTTGCAGTAAAAAAAACTTGGGGACTTACTGTTTTGCATCAACTTCTCTAGGCACTGCTAAAAATCGCTGCACTGTACCTGGATGAATACCGAGATGTCCGAGCCATATTACTGTCATACCTATACTCATACTCCAAAAAGTATTCCTCACAAACAGACTTGGGTTCATACTAATAAAAAATAATTATAATGATATTATAATTATAATAATATTATAGTACAGTATCTATATAAAGATATATAAAAAGTACCCGAAAAATCTCGAAAACTAGGCATTTTATGAAAAAGTATTTTAGATAAAAGTTGTAGGATTTTAAAAGATCTATTTACTGGTTTTATTAGTTTGGCCTTAAATGACATCGCTAAGGTCAGAACAAAGTTACCTTGAATTTTTTTAATGGAATACTTCATTTTTTATTGCAGATTTTTATAGCATAATTCAAGAGTCTGTCAAAAAAAAACACTATAATAAAGTTTATATTTATTGAGTATTTTTTGACTTATAAGGGTTGAATATTAGAATATCGTCAGTATTATCTATTGATTATATCATTCATTATCATTCATTTCAAATGTGCTTTATCTAAAAAAAACTATGTTGAATAGGAAGTTAGGTTCTTTGTCAATTATCTGCATTATGCTCATAACATTCGTTTTGATCAAAATCATTTTTGTAGAAAAAGTACCGGCGGTATTCCAATATTTACTCTTCATAACTCAAAAAGTACTTAATGAAAATAAACCTTATAGTGTTTTGAAAAGCTCTTGAATTAGGCTATAAGAATCTGCAGTAAAAAATAAGAAGTTCTATTTAAAAAACCGATGTGATCTTGACGTGATTTTGACGGTACTACCCAATGTCACACTAATACAATCAGTAAATAGATACTTCTAAATTCTACAGCTTTTATCTGAAACACTTTTTTGTAAAATGCCTAGTTTTCGAGATTTTTCGCAATACTGGTACTTTTTATACACCCTGTAGAATACTACGTATCATACAAGAATAAAAAGTGAAAAAAGTTTAAAAACTTCGGTTTTTTGTTTTTTCTTACTCGAAAAAAATGAGACGGCCTCCTTGAGCTGATATTTTCCACACTTCCTCGACGCTGCCGACAGACAGTATTCCCAGTACAAGAATTGTAATAAGTCCTCCAAAGGTTACAGAAAACTGTATAGTGTCCGTCCATACCACTGCTTTCAAGCCACCCTACATAAAAAAATTCCCCAAAACATCTCTAACCACTCTTAACACACATATACATATAAAGTGAGGGAAAAAATTGGTCCTGAATAACTCGGAAAATATGAGTTTTATAGAAAAATGTCTCAGACAAAAGTTGCAGGGCGTCAAAATATCTATTTACTGATATTATCAGTTTGATCTTGGGTGATGTCGCCAAGATTAAAACAAGGTCACCTTGAATTTTTTAAATAAAGCTCTATTTTATTATTGCATATTCTTATAGCACCTTCTTCACGCCTTGTCAAAACACTATAATTTTATCTTTCAAGCTCAATGTGATTGACTTACTTTTTAATCTTTTTTCTATCATAGACAACCCTGCGGCCTTCTTTTATGTAATGTATGACATTTTAATGTATTGGTTTAATTGGTAATGCACGTCTTACTAGAGACACTCAACTGTACTTTGCATCTTAATTTAACTTTTATTCTGCAATTTTATTGTTTTTTTTTTTTTTTTTTGAATTTATATATATGTGTACTGCGACTGACGAAGACTTACGTTAGAGTTTTGCACTAAATAATGCTTTAGCATATATGTAATTTGGGTTTTAAATATAGTCATCTATGTTAGGCTCGGTTTTGACCTTTTTCCTTTTTGTTGTTGGTTTGCATAACATGCGTTTTTGAATGTACTATCGTTTACTATGTTCTTCTAGAAAAAAAGAAAAATATTCTACATCTTATTATAAGAAAGACTATAAGAATATGCAATAAAAAAATAGAAAGTTTTATCTACAAAATTCAAGATGACCTTGTTTTAACCTTGGCGACGTCACTCAAGGTCAAACTGATAATATCAGTAAATATATCTTTTTACGTTCTTTTGTCTGAAATATTTTTCTATAAACCTCATATTTTTTGTTATTTATATCGATTTTTTCTTTTCCCTGTACGTACACATGCATGGTCTGACATAAAGTATTCGGATTAGAAAAATAAAACTCTACAAACTTTTTCAACAACAAAATATACAATACAATTTTTTTAAAGAAATGTTCCACATTATCAATATATTTACATCATTTTAATTTCAAAATAATTTTTCAATTCCTTAATTGAAATGTGCTGTTCAGCACTTGTTATGTTTGTTTGAATGTCTCTCTCTCTCTCTCTCTCTCTCTCTCTCTCTCTCTCTCTCTCTCTTTCTTTTCCTTTTTCTTTCTTCTACATTCTGAAGAAGTTCCTTCTTTTATGACGTTTTGGAAACAACATAAAGTCCAAAAGAGCTAAATCCGACAAATACAAGTGAAAACTGATTAATTTCAACAATGTTTTTCTTTATTGGAAAAATTTTTTCACAATGATGTCAATCATCTTGTGAGGAACAAATCATGCTCAAATCTTTCTTTTACCTAAATTTGACCAACATATTTCAAATTGTTATTCTATTGAGTTCAGTCTTTTTCTCTATTTTTTAAAAAATAATTTGTAAGGTAATTATCTTATTTAAAAATTTTTTCCACTTTGTTGAAATTTTGATTATTTCTAGCAGTTGAAAGTTCTCCAGTTTTCTTTAATAATTACATATCCACAATTTTCACGAAAGCGAGAATATTATTCTTATTTTGAGTATTAAAATCACTGTTAAACAATGTTTTCATTACTTAAAATAAATATTATTTTGGTCATAATAGAAAGAAGTTTTGTAAAGATTTTTAAAACTCATTTGACATTCATAAAGGTTTAGTACAGGTTTTGATACAGTGAAAGTTTTAGTACCGGTTTTAACATATGGTAAGTTTCTATAACTGTGTGTGTGTTTTCCCAAGGTTGAAACAAAGCTTGATGTTCACTCGTAATGGCGATAAATAATATAGGTTCTAAACTCAACTACTACTGAAAATTTATAAACATCTGATTAAAGCTATTAAGGAAATTAAAGAAATGTAAATGTGTTGCGCTACATTAAAAAAATTACTTCAAACTAGTAGAATTTATGTTTTAACATCAGTTCAGATACTTTATCGTCAGACCACGTGTGTGTGTACATTATATAAGTCTTTATATTGTATAAGTTCTTTAATCAAAAAAGAGAATCCCAGATATGCATTTTAGTTTTTTTTACATGCATTACACAAAAATAAATATCCTATAAGATAAATAAACAAAGTCACATAATATACAATATCAAAATAATGCAAGACAATTTTTTTTCTTTACTGATATACAACAGATATTATATAACTCATACAAAAACTAAATTACAATGCGCTACTTACAATGCTAGTATAAATGATACACACGATGCAGAGCACTGGCGTTATTGTGTGAACACTTATTTTAGTAACTTGCGCAAAGGCAATAGCAGGTACGTAGATGACAATAGGCACGTACGCAAAGAGCGAAATAGTGAACAATACCGAAGAGAGGATTCTGATTGATTTAGAAAATCTGATTTCGAGATACTCAAAAGTACTGGTAAGCTGCAGTTTGTAGAATACAGGTAGAAAAACATAAGAAGTGATCACAGCAGTAAGAATCGACGTAATAACGCACGCAGCATACTGAGAACCATGATGAAAAACCTCCGCGGGTATGCCTAGTAATGTAATCCCCGAAATGTGGCTGAACATAAGTAAGATCACTTTAAATATAAAAAAACTTGAAAATAAAAAATACGCTTATTAAAAAAGAAACAGCAGATTAATTATAATGATTAATTATAATTATTCATAATTCTATATAGAATTCTTAATATATGTATTTTTTCAAATATACTCATTTTTTCTAAAATTATCCATTCTTTGAAGACTAGATATTTAAATTGACAAAATAACTCTCTTTCTGCCAAATTTTTTTCCTTATTTATTAACATATAGAAATCAAAGGGTCACTGACCTAGCAATAATGCTTATTGCAATGGGAAAGCATCCCATTCGTTTACCACCTAGAAAATATTCTTTTGTACTATTTTGTTTGCTAAAGAATCCGAAGTACACGCCGATGAGAACGCTGACAAGCAACAACGAACTGAAAAGCACATAATCGAGCCATCCGAACACGAAACGATCAAAATTCAGCGTTTGATTAAATGGAATAGTAGTAGTGAGGAAATTCTTCATTGTTTTTTCTCGATTCGTAGAACGGATCAAGAGTCGATCCTGATTCTAAAAGCACTAAACTGAGAATGAAATTTAGGCACTGCGCACAGCGCGAAACTTTCTTTGCATCCTTCTTGAGTTACACTTATTTGATTTGACGTAAGAATCAGAGTACAAAACGCAAACTGAAGCTGACTTGCAATTTGTAGACATGATTATAAAATCGTGAAACATTATTAATTTACAACCGACGTATAGATAACGACGCATGCACAAAATCTGATAATATAATGTGACGAAATTCTGACGTCAATGACGATTGCAATAAGTAGAAAGTCAGAGAAAAGTGAGCAAGCCTATAGAAAATTACATTTCCAAGATCCAATGTTACTTAAATAAAATATAAAAAATAAGAAACAAAAATAATATATAGTTCTATTGGAAGAATGTGATATTTATTCAATTGTTGAGCAATCTCTACTCTGGTAGAAATTATTATAACAATTTACGCTATTTTTACAAATGTTCTGAAATTGTTTGAATGGTGATGGTATAGTAGTAAATTTTAAATTAAGTTTTACAGCTTCTTACAACTTTGTTTTTTCTCAAATAATGCTATATTTAAATCAAAAATAGTCTGTTACATTTATGTTAAACAGTGATTTTTTCATTAAATAATGGTTTATTTAATGGAAAAAAACTTAATAAAACATTATTTCGTTGAAATAAATTATTTCAAGCACTTATATTATTTTCTTCATATTATGATTTAGTATAACGTACCAATACAAAGTTTCATTCAACAAAATTGTTGTTTGGTATAAAATTATGTTATTTGAATGCAACAAATATGAGTCAAACAAATCGGATTATTACATTTAAAGAAACCGTTCTCTCTGTGTATAGACTTGTAAGCGTTTGTAAGTGTTCAATAATTGTTAATCTGGACTTCAATTCTTAAATTTATACGAAAATTTTTTGTATGCAAAAGTGTCACTCGCTACGCAATTACTGACTGATATATATTTTTAAATTTAAAAATATATACTAATTAATAATTATATTAAATAATGTAATATATTAAATTACATAAAGCTATTACATAAAACTATTACACAAAATTAATCTCAATATAATTAAATAATTTAATATATTAAATATATGTAATATATATCTCAATAGTCTTCTTATTCTTACAATAAACTGAGTTATAATAAATGAATTGATTTTTAATGTGTAGTTTTTATTATTTTTTATTACTTACTCATAAAACCATTTGCTAACCGTTTAAAAAGTCTGTCAGCAAACTCTTTGTACAAAAATTTATCAGTATTTGCTGAGCGTTATGTGAAAAGCGTTATCTTAGTATTGCAAAATGTTTAGAAAACATTATATATAGCGTTTGATAAGCGTTCCAAAAGAGTTCAAATCTTTTGACGTTATATAAGCATTCTTATAAAGTTTGAAAGCGTATAAACTCTCAGAAAATTCTCATTAAGTCTCACGTTATCAACGCTCTGTAAAGCTTCCTATTTTCGTCAGGGCTTCATTGAGTAGTGTTCAAAAAGTTAGGCGGCGCTCATTGTTTATTAAACAGTTATTAACAAAACACGTTTGAAAAACAAACTTTATTTTCAATGAAACTAGAATTCAGAGTCTGGCCAATGTTGTCCGATTTTTTATTGGCTCTGAAGCAAAATGGCGAGACCATTGGATACTTGTGGATACTAAATAGAAAAGTAAAAGTACAAAATTTAAATTCAAGTAACAGGCTTATCGAACCGGTTGCAGGGTGTTTTGCAATAAAATTCCAATGTTTATTGTCCAAACGTTTCGACTTTATTGTATCAAGTCATCTTCAGTGTTTTGTCTGATGTGTAAAATACAATTTGTCGTTAATAATGAAAAATAACAGTAGAATATACAACACAATATATCACACTAAATTAAGAAACTTACAATTCTGTACAACATTTCTTATAATGACGATAAATTTTAGAGTGTTAACGAATGTGTTGTTACATACTAGTTATCGTCGGTACTGAGAATGGAACATTTTTATGTGTTGTGTGATCTGTAGCTCTATCTATAGTTATTCTTATTATTTAATTTGGTTGAGGTAAGAAAAATATGTTTTGTCTAACAGTGCCGTATCTTGCATAACGTTGATCGTGTTGTTCCCTATTTTAATGTTAACCATCTCGGACGTTAATTGTTTATAATAATTTGGTGCACCGAAAACTTAAGACAAAGTGCAGCCGCGCCAAGTTTGTTTACATTAAATATTTTTTATTTTGAAACATTCCACATGAGTTTTTGACATTTCACACACTGAGAAAAAAAATTTGTTATGCATACTAAATTTGTATAGTTGATTCACCCAATAGTTGACTTAACAATTATTTAGTTGCACTAAAAAAAATGCAGTTCATATATGTCAACCAACAAAATTTTTTCATCGAGAATTAACTAAACCATTTTAATCAAATTATTTTGTTCAAAATAATAGTAGCATCTATTTGTGTTGCATGCCATTTATTTACCCAGATGATAAATTTATTTAAATTCCAAGTATCAAACTGACTAAATAATTTTATGAAAATTGATAAATATTGTGTATTTGCAATCCAACGGTTGACTTAGATACAACAAAATTGTTGTTAAAATAAATACCAGAATTTGTCAATTTTAATTTTTAAAAGTAACAAAAAGTTTTGTAAATCTTCAAAAACTTTTTGGTGATTGAACCAAGCGCGATCAAAAATTAAATAAATTAATTTGTTGTTAAAATTTCTTGATTAAGTAAAAATTCTGTTGATTGATATATGATTTAGTTAAAAATAAATATTACTTTTCTTAATAATCTACTAAAGAGCTGAGTTAAATATCACATTATTATCGTATAACGTTAACTATTTAATTTGTTTCTTTTGATTAAAGAAAACTGCAGCTTAATCATGTGAATTTTGTTCAATTTTTGATCACTGCGTAAGCGTATAATGAACAAAAAGTCGTCAGTTTTGCGCATTTCTCTTGCTACAGAACGTTTAAGCCCTTCTTTATTAAACGCAAGACGCAAATGCAAGTACCAAGGAAGATAATAATGAAACGGAACAAGTATGACAAAGATAGGAAGTCAGTGATGCTATTGGTTGGGTACCACGGATGCGCATGCGCATATTTACGCACGTGAAAATTAGGAGAATTGCGCTACTGTGTATACTGTACTTATGGTATCCCATCATAAACTGCCTACAGCAGTTCGCCGTCCTACCTTACATGCGACAAGTGATAAAGTGTAAATTGAAAGACATGGCACACATTATTCGGTCATGGGGGATGAAAGATTCCGTAGAATCAAATATTATCAAAATATTGGAAGGTATGTATAACTTATCTTAATTATTTACTGTTTTTATATGTATGTATATGTACTATTTGTTTAAAATATTATGTCTCTTTGTATAATTAGTTTATTACTTCTTGAAATATCAAATATACAGTAAA